CTCAGTTTGTTTGTAGAAAGTTCCATTCCAGGCGAAGTATGTGTTGGTTAAGCAATATCTCACCAGGTGGGGTACATCAGTATGTAGTCCTTGATGGACCAGGTCTTCAATGATAGCGATGGTGTCAGGTACCGGAACTTTGGTGAACAAGGACACCACATCAAAACTGACAAGCAGGTCGTCTGGGGACAGGGAAATGCCTTTGATTGTCGATACTAGGTGAGTGGAATTTAGTACCGCAGAGGTGGTTTTTCCAGTGAAAGGTCGCAGTATATCAGCAAGAAAATGTGCCAGTTTATTGGTGGGGGAGTTGATAGTAGTGACGATGGGACAAAGGAGTGTATCTTCTTTGTGTATCTTTGGAAGGCCATATAATCTTGGAGGTCTGGCAGCAGAGGGTTTCAACGATAACTGTTTGGTCTGATCAATTAATGCTGTTGAATCAGATATTATTTCGTTCGTTTTGGTAACCAGGCTGTTGGTGGGATCTCTTTTTAGTTTTGTATAGCTGCCGTCGTTGAGCAGTTCTTGAATTTTGTTGTTATATTCTGTTTTGTCCATGATGACAGTGGCATTGCCCTTGTCGGCTGAGAGGACGACAATATCATATCTCTTTTATAATTGGGATAATTCAAAGCGTTCATCTTTGCTGATGTTGCTAGGTGGCAACTTAGCGTTTTTGAGGGTTGCAGCGATTTCAGATCTTGCTACATCTGCAGAGATGTGACTCAAGCCCTTGAGTGCAACGTCTACATGGGCAATGATATCATTAACCGATATGTGTCTCGGTGTGACAGCATAGTTTAGGCCTTTAGCTAAAACGGATTTCAGGCCATCAGAAATGGAACTGTTACTGCGATTAATTACGACTTTGTTAACGTCTATCTTTTCAGTGTGTGGATCCGATTTTTTGTTTGAGAGGTGATTGAATTTGGAAATCAAATTGTCCCTACATTTGGTCGACATAGTGGTAGCCGAAGAGGTAGTCATATTGTCTACATTTTCCCAATCCGATGTAGACATTGTTGCTGTCAATGTTAAGTGTGATTTGTAGAGTGTCTTGTCTAATTGATCAAGTTCGGTGCGTGTAAGTCTGATTTTTTTCTGAGATAAGAGCGAAGCTAGTTCTAGCTAGAATTCGTTTTGCATTGAAAGAAGTTGCAGCAGCAGAGGTTAGTGTAAATGCGGTTGGTATTACCTTAGAATCGCGGCATCTCTTAAGAAAGGTGAGAGACTCGATTAGTTGAGCTTTCTTGTCCCGGAGTCTGTTGAAAGATCTTAAGGTTGTATGAAATCCCTCCCCGTACAGGCAGTTAAATTCCGATTTAAAGCTTTCGTGACTGCAAGGATTCATCTTATTTGGTTCTTTCCCTCACACCAACGCTAATCCCCCAGTTACATGCTAATTAATATGTAAACTCCTCTCCCCCCGTCCCCCGGTCCGAGCTCGTTGTTCGCCGTGGTGCTAATCCCTCACACCAACACCATGCTGATCCCCCAGTTACATGCTAATTTATATGTAAACTCCCCCTCCCTCCTCCATTCCCAGCTCGTTCGCTCTCCGTAATGCTAATCTCCCAGTTAATGCTCCTTTGTCAAAGCTCTTTGTTCCTCCCACACAGCTTAAAAGACGCTGTAAAGCTTGACATGGTTCACTCAAGCGCTGTCTTCTGGACAGTCCTGTTTCTTCACCTGAGGACGGCTACTTGTGTTGTGGCTGAAACGTCGTGAGAATTTCATTGTTATATTTTATTATTTTATTCTCATTCTACGTGACTTTACCGAAAGAACCAAAGAAGGCAACAATGTTCTTCACGATCAATTGATATCTAATGCACCACCTTGGAATGTCACGTTTTTTTATTGTTCCGATATGCATGTTGTGTCTTCGTGAAGCAGACGCAGGGTGATACGTTGTGAGGGTGAGAGTTTGGCAGAGGGTAATATAAACGGCTTTGTTCTCATTCGGGGCGTCGGCTTGACTGCTCGTGCTGGCAGATACAGGCTCTTTCCGCTGCTGGATGACTGCGCTCACTCTGTTGAGATGCCCGAACGGGCTCTCTCTGGTTCGCTGACAGCAGGTTCTCTCCCGCTCGGCGTGTCTCACGCCGCTGGGTGATGAGCTCGCCGGCACGCTGCCCTCTACTGGTGCTGCTCGAACGCGCTCTGCGCTGGGAGCCGCAGGCGGCTGCAGTCTCCTTTCACTGCTGTGGGGCAGCGCGGCAGCTCCCTCTCCTTGAAGATGCGTGATCGCGCTCAGCTGGTTCGCTGACTCTTTTGCTCACGGGCAGCTGGCCAGGCTTTTCCACTGCTGGATGAGTCAAGTCGGCACACGCTTGGCTGCTGACAGCAGACGCTCTTGCTTGGCGGCACTGGTCACGCTGCAGCTGGGAGCCGGCACTCGATGTAGAATAAACTTTCAGCGATACTCTGTCTGCCCATGCCGAACTCAGCACAGAGCATCCCCTCGCCCCCCTTCTCTGCGAGACACAGCACCCATTGCTAATGTCTCGAGGCCATGCCTCAAAGCTGGCTTGATGTCTTCTTCCGAACCGCTGGTCGCCGCCTCCTGCGACTGGCCGTGCCTTGTTGAATTCGTTTGTCGAGATGATGGTTGAACTGTTATATTCGAAAAAAAATCTACGCTCTGCGCAGTGGTTTGGCGTGGCCTTCCGTCCGGTCGGCCCTCCCGGTGTAACCTTTTCTCTATGCACAAAAGGCGTTAAGGCTTTTAAAGTTAACATTTATTCCATCACGGTTTGGTATCGTACCACTTGCAGTTATGATTCTGTCTGTGACTCAAGGTATTTGATTTTTATTTTCACGAGAGAAGGTGCTCTCTTGAGCGTATGCCTATTCTTATCACGGGCTGTGGGAAGACAAAGACGGCCGGGAGGTTCTCTCTTTCCCTGGCCCTCGGTTGAACATCGCTCGAATATCATTTAGTTTTATGTTCAACAAGGTTGTGATTCACCCCGTTATCCTGGCCCTTCCTCAGTTTTTATAAAGTTTCGTCATTCCGTGTGTATGCTTTATCATTTATATCATTTTATTTCCGATATCCTGGGTTAAGAGGTAAGTTTCTTGATCCTTGGAATTAGTATTCCTTGGTGTTTGCAAGGTTATATAAACGGAATATAGTTTACGGTGAATAAAGTTACATTAATGTTATGTATGAAACTATGTATTGTGGCCGGGCTTCGCTGTTAATTACTTGTCTGCTCGGCTTCGCTGACTGGAAGCTGCCAAGGGAATTACTTTGATCTCGCTCTGGTGTGAAATTCCTTTCTCTCCCGCGCTGTGGGAAGACAAAGACGGCCGGGAGTCTCTCTTTCTCTCTCTGGCTAGCCCTCGGTTTAACGTCGCTCAACTATCATTTGGTTTTATGTTTAACCATGATTTGTAGTTATTTTCGATATCCGGAGGTTGGATATATAGCTTAGTTTGGACTTAAGCTTTCGTGATTGCAGGAACTCATGTACTTTGGTTCTCTTGGTAAAGTCGCGTAGATTGAAGATACAATACGAAACAATACGTAAGTTGAATAAGGGTGAAATAAAATAAGTACTAATAAAGCTACTAATGTAAACTTATTCTTATAGCCAAGCTTTAACTTTTTCCGTGAGAAAAAAAATCAGTTATAATGTTTGTTTGCCCTGTGCTCTGTGTCTGTGATTCTGGGTATTTATTTGTGCACCGTTCTTTAGCGATCTGGAGATTCGCAGATAATGTTTATTATTTCATTTTTTAATGGCCTTTTTACGACCTCCAGCTGTTGTTTGCTGATGCTTGTCGTAGCGGTTGTTATTTATTTACGTAAAAACATATATCTATCGGCAAATATTATTAATATAAATTTCGGAAAAGGCCTATATATCCAACAGTGTCTCTGTGTGTCTCTCCCTGTGTGTCTCTGTGTTATCTCTCTCTGCCTGTGTGTCTGTCTGTGTGTCTCTCTCTCTGTGTCTCTGTGTGTGACTCTCTCTGCCTGTCTGTCTGTGTGTCTCTGTGTGTCTCTCTGTGTCTCTGTGTGTGTCTCTCTCTGCTTGTGTGTCTGTCTTTGTCTTCGTGTCTGTTTTGTCTCACTCTCAAACTTAGTACTTTTTTGAAGAACGTAATCAAGCGGGTAGGGTGTTGACTGTTATGTTAGCCGACTCTCTGTGTTGCATTGCATTATACTTCTTAGTTTGCTAGGTTTGTTTTTCTCATTCATTCGTACCTGATGATGATTGTTGTTTTGCAATCGAAACGTCGTATGCTATTATTTTATTTCTTTTCTTTCTACGTGACTTAACCGAAAGAACCAAAAAGTATATTTTTATAGTTATACTTACTTTTAAAATTGAATAATTATAAGATAAATACAATATAATATTCTGAACATGTGCAGTTTTAGGAAGACGTTGAATATTTTCAAGTGAATTTAATGCTAAATTCCAGCTTTCCAAAGCCTCCTTTTTAATACATGTTTTCTGGTACAACATCAGAGTGCAGCGCCACATTAGATACGCACTACAATGACAATAGTTTTAGTTTAAAGTGATTTGAAGCATGTTTTATTTTCAAAATGGCGTCATATTTGAGGGGGGTCTGACTTTTTGTGACGCCATGTGACGAGTGGAGAGGGGGTTAAAAATCGGCGAAAATCGCGTGACGTCATTTATGGACGGCCCCATAGTTGTCAGAAGCGACATGGCTATTACAAATGATAGCTCAACAAAGTGGATGATTGTAATGTTGAAATTGCTAGCAGCCAAATACTCTGAACGCGTAACGTCGATTCTAATTATGGAGGCAAAAACCGGAGGACCCAGAGAAAAATCCATAGGACTACAGAGAGAACAAACTCCAATTAAACGGGCGTCAGGGTCGGGAACGAACCACCACCTGCTGTATACAAGGCGAGGGAGTCAACATCTCCTAGCCACCACGACGCCCACATTCACACACGAAGTGGCTCATGGCTCAGGGAGCCAACCGTGGTCCCCGCGTCTACGCAGGAATCGGTGACCGGGATCACGGGTCGCCTAAGGGATACTCTGGACGAGGATGAGAAGGAGGCTCTACGTCGCGTGGCCGTGAAGGAGCGCGAGCTGCTGTCCCGAATTGAGGAGGACATCGCTCGTCACAAGCGGGAGATCAGCGAGCTCCAGGCAGCGGCCGCTCACCTGCGCGCCCTGCAGCACGAGACGGACTCGCTCGCCTTCCTGCAGGTGGGGAGCGCCACTGTGGAGACGCCGTTTGGGTGTTCAGAACAATAGAGCGGGCAGTGGCAGGGGGACTCGTGGTGCAAGGTTAGAGACGTCACTCATGATCCCTGTCTCTCTCTTCCACAGGGGCACCTGGAGGAGACACGCAGGTACAGATCCTCAATGTCTCACGGTTAAACACTCACACAACAGGATGTGTGTGTTAGACACACGGGGTGTGTTTGTGTGTGTGTGTGTGAGAGACATGCTGGCTGTGTGTGAGACACTGTCTGTGTGTGAGACACGGGCTGTGTGTGAGACACGGGCTGTGTGTGAGACACAGTGGGGAGCGGTAGTGTAGTGGTTAGCGCACTGCGCTATGAACCTGGCGACCCAGGTTAGATTCCCGCTCACGGCCAACAACAGTGACAATTATCTGAACCGGTCCTGGGCCTCCCCTAGGTCGACTCAGCCTCAAATGAGTACCTGGTGCGATGTGTAAACATCGTCACTAGGGAGACAAAGGCGGCCGGGCGTGGTGTTGGCCACCCACCCCCACGTGTGCCGTGCCGGCCTTCATAGGTGCTCGCTAACAGCACTCGCACCTGCAGTTTGTTAAGGCTAAATGGGAGATCTTTGTGAGACACGGGCTATGTGTGAGACACGTGCTGTGTGTGCTATGGATGCTGGTGTTACAATGCAGTGGTAAAACGAGGCTGTGTGTGATGCTGTTGGTGGTTGTCCCAGGAGAGAGATCCCAAAGGAATCTGCACCCCCATCTCCCACTTCACTGGACGCCACCACGATCCGCTCCCTTGAAAGGGACATGCGCAGACTCCTGCCTCTCGTCTGTGAGTTCCTCAGTCTTGCATCCGCGTGTCCCGCTCTGTTGTACTGCACTTCTGTGCTCCCCACCTTCATCAACTTTTATTTTACCAGGTAAGGAACCCACTGAACCTTGTCGCTCTTTTGTCGCAAGCGACCTATCACAAATGACAGCTCTACGAAGTGGCTCATCACTTGGATATTTATAGCAGTAGCCAAATCCTCTGAATGCAAATTGATTCTAAACGTGGAGGGGAAAAGGCGGGGAACCAGGGAAAAATCCACGCCACCATGGGGAGAGAGATGCAGACTCTGAAAGAGAGCGACATGGATCAGTGGGCTCTACCTGCTGAAATAAAATTAGTTTAACAGTTTAAATATTCTACTGTACCATACTGCTTGGTACTAGGGCAAGTGGCGTTAGCGAGCAGCAGCACCTAAGAAGGCTGGCACGGCACACGAGGGGGTTGGTGGCCAGCACCACGCCCGGCCGCCTTTGTCTCTATCGTGCCGAATGTTTACACATCACACCAGAAGAGGGCAGTGCAGCGTGATCCATTGTTGCACTGTACCTCTACGCTTCTTCGTTTACAATCGCCAACATCGCCAACGCGCATCGACAAGAGCGGTGAAGTATGATCAAATAACCCCGCAGGGTGCGCATGGCGCGGGGAGGCGCTCATCCAGCAGCGGAGTGACACACAATGTCTGTGTGTGGATGGGAGAGTGTGCGAGCCTGTGACACACAATGTCTGTGTGTGGTTGTGAGAGTGTGCGAGGCTGTGACACACAATGTCTGTGCGTGGGTGTGAGAGTGTGCGGCAAAACAACCCCCTACCTCCTCGTGGTGCTAGACGGGCAACTCTGTCGTGGACAGTGCTGTGGGGGGAGGTCCAATTTCGATTGGCTCCTCCCCTCATGGCATCTGTGTCCACCACAGGGGCTAAACGGGGGCTCTGGACGGGTGCGAGGGGCTGGTAACCCCTCCACCTTCAATTAATTACCACTAAACCGCGAATTAAGTATATAACTAATAAACTTGTGCTGGAGGCCCCGGGGGGCCAGGCATCTATGACGTCTCCTGGCCAAACCCCAATTGGCGGAGCCAGGAGATTGAATATCTACCCTCGGGGCTCTTCCAGAAACAACGAAAAACCACTACGGGTGGCCAAGTGGAATGTTCGAACGCTCACTGCGGGGGAGAAGCTGCCATTCCTCTGTCGGGAGCTGGACCAGTACCGCCTGGATTTATGTGGCATTCAGGAGGTCCGGTAGACCGGTTCTGGATCCTGCCACCATGAGGCGTGGACAGTCCTCTACTCGGGGCAGCAGACTGCCAAACAACAGGGTGTGGCTCTTCTTTTGAACAAAATAATGAAGGGGGCGTGGGAGTGTGGCGGTGAGTTGTGGGAAACTGTAAGCCCCAGGCTACTTTGGGCTCGCCTTTCCATCAACCGGAGGTGAGGAATGGTGGTCGTGGTTACTTATTTCCCCACCGAAGATGAACATCCGTGGAGGGATGCAGGCAAAGCCGATGAATCAGATGCCTTATATGACCTCCTGTCACAGGTGCCAGCTAAAGTGGCCCCTCGGGATAGAGTCATCATGTTGGGTGACTTCAATGCCCGAGTTGGTCATGAAGCTGGCACCTGGTCTGGAGTGATTGGAGGGCATGGGCCAGATCAGCTCAATAACAACGGTAGGAGGCTGCTAGATTTTTGTGCAGCCCATGGGCTTGTAATTACCAACACGCTGTTCCGGCATCGGCGCATCCACACAACATCATGGATGCATGCCGGGTCCAAGCAAGAACATCTGCTGGACTACATAGTGACGGACCAGCGGATGCGAGCCCATGTCCTTGACACCAGGACCTACCGTGGAGCTGATCTGCCCTCTGACCATCGACTAGTCATCTGTAAGATGCACCTGCCATTCTTCCACTCCGGTGGTGGGTGTACACCCAGGACCCCATTCCAACCTAAAGTGGCCTGGCCTCAGTTATCTGATGAAAGTTGCAAGCGAGAATTTAAACATCGCTTGCGGCTGGGATTGGCATCGTCCCCGACTCCTCCTGATGTCGAGGGTAAATGGGCGAGGTTTAGGACTGTGACTCATGCAGCTGCAATGGCTGCTTTGGGTACGCGGTCCAGACCTCCCCAGAGACTCTGGCTGACAGAAGAGGTGTTCAGGATGGTTGAGAAAAAGCGACAGGCCCACTGTCATTGGCTACAGAATCCCACGTCAGAGAATGAGGAGGCTTACCGCAGCTTTCGCTCGGAGGTTCGGAGAGCCGTGAGGCGCTGCAAGGATGGGTGGTGGTCGCGGGTTGCTGAGGAGATGGAGTCTGCCTCATTGGCCCGTGATCACAAATCTCTATCTAACTCCATCAAAAAAGTAATCTGCAGCGCCACACCTATTACCATCATTAGGGGAAAAAACGGTGATCCAATCTCCGACCCCCAGGAACAGGTTTGAAGATTTGCTGAGCATTTATGTGAGGTCCTGGGGAGGGAAAATCCCTCAGCCAGGAAAACATCGTGGCACAAAGTGAGGATGACCCTGCTGAGGCTGCGGTGCCTCAAATATTGGAAGAAGTCACCTCCTGTGAGTGGCTGTCTGAGGTGCCATCGGTTGAGGAAGTACTGAAGGCGATCCGGAGTCTGAGACCTGGAAAGGCAGCGGGCGGAGATGATCTCCCAAGCGAAATGCTCAGGGAGGGTGGCGTTTGTGCACAGACTGCCCGATAAGACATCATAACAACAGTCTGGACCACTGGACGGGTTCCGCAGGATTGGAAGGATGCCCTGGTGGTCCCCCTTTTTAATAAGGGGGACCGCACAGACTGTAACAACTACATGGGCATCTCACTCCTCAGTGTGCCGGGAAAGGTCCGGGCAAGGATTATTCAACATCGCCTTGCCTGCTACAGCAGAGGTGTAGGGAATTCCAACAAGACCTACACCTCTGCTTTATTGACCTGGTCAAGGCCTATGATACCATCAGTATGCCTGGACTCTGGGTTGTTCTTCGTGCTTTTGGAGTAGCTGACCCTCTGCTCACGATCATTACGGACCTTCATGATGGTGAGCGGGCCCGGGTAAAACTACGTGGCCGGGAGTCAGAGCCATTCCCTGTACACCTTGGGGTGCGACAGGGATGTCCTCTGGCTCCCACATTATTTAACATCTATTTTGATCACGTAGTTCGTGAAGCCTTCAATAGCTGTACCGGGGGAATCTCCATATGGTACAGATATAATGGGAGGCTGGTCGATGCCCGGGTGCGGTCAAGGGATCGCTCCCTATTGCTCAACCACGTTATGTATGCTGATGTTTTGGTAATAGCTGCTCATTCAGAGGAGGAGTTGGAGACGCTGCTGCTGAGACTGGAGCGTGCCACTAAAAAACTAAGCACCTGCCTGGGTATCTTGTACCATCGGACACTCCACCCCCACAACTCCCCATCGGTGATGGGGCAGTTGTGGAGAGAGTGGAGAGTTTCCCATACCTGGGCAGTGTGCTTATGACTGGCTCCAGTTTAACAGCAGAGGTCTCACTTCGAATCAGTCAGGCGGCAATATCTTTTCATCGGTTGCGTAACGCTGTGTGGAAGCTACCTGGTCTGTCGCTCTACACTAAGCTTCAGGTCTTCTCGGCCACGGTCATTCCCTCCCTTCTCTACGCTTGCGAAACGTGGATACCCCTAATGGAACATCATCGCCGGTTAGAAACATTTAGGCTGGCCTGCCTACAATCCATCCTGGGTTTAACCAGACTGCCAGACTGGATTGTGTGAGGAGCTCACAAATCCTTGAAAGATCTGGGCAAAGGCCTATCGGTGAGCTCCTCCGGCGGGCAAGGCTGCGATGGCTGGGTCATGTAGCCCGCATGCCCAGCCACCGCATGCCGAAACAGCTATTGTTCGGCCAGATCGAGGGGGCTATACGGGAGCGGCACGGGCTAAAGAAGAGATGGAGTGATGTGGTACAGGAGGACGTGGAGCTGAGTGGACTTGCCGATGACTGGTACCAGTGGTGTCAAGATCGGCCTCTGTGGAGGAGGCTCGTGAAGCCGCTACTGGGCAGTTGGAGGTAGTCGCCCTCCAACAACAACGGAGGGCGGAGGAGCAACGCTCACAACAATGAGCGGAGCGCCGGGTGGCTGAAGCACAGCGGGTTGGCACAGTAGAGGGCACAGGTGGTGCATCAGCCAGTCATCTCAGTCAGTCGACCCGTGGCACCTGGGTCTGCCCCGTGATCTCCTGCCAGCAGGCGTTCGACACTTCACGTGGCCTCAGGGTGCACATAGCCTGGCACAAGCGTCGTGGTGACGTCACCGCCACTTAGTGGCGAATGGCGGTTGTTGTTGTTGAGTGTGCGAGGCTGTGACACACAATGTCTGTGTGTGGATGTGAGAGTGTGTGAGGCTGTGACACACAATGTCTGTGTGTGGATGTGAGAGTGTGCGAAGCTGTGACACACAATGTCTGTGTGTGTATGTGAGAGTGTGCGAAGCTGTGACACACAATATCTGTGTGTGAGTGAGAGAGTGTGCGAGGCAGTGACACACAATGTCTGTGTGTGAGTGTGAGAGTGTGCGAGACTGTGACACACAATGTCTGTGTGTGGGTGTGAGAGTGTGCGAGACTGTGACAGACAATGTCTGTGTGTGTGGGTGTGAGCGTGTGCGAGGCTGTGTTACAGAATGTCTGTGTGTGTGGGTGTGAGAGTGTACGAGGCTGTGACACACAATGTCTGTGTGTGTGGGTGTGAGAGTGTACGAGGCTGTGACACATAATGTCTGTGTGTGTGGGTGTGAGAGTGTGCGAGGCTGTGTTACAGAATGTCTGTGTGTGTGGGTGTGAGAGTGTACGAGGCTGTGACACACAATGTCTGTGTGTGGATGTCAGAGTGTGCGAGGCTGTGACACACAATGTCTGTGTGTGTGGGTGTGAGAGTGTGCGAGGCTGTGTTACAGAATGTCTGTGTGTGTGGGTGTGAGAGTGTACGAGGCTGTGACACACAATGTCTGTGTGTGGATGTCAGAGTGTGCGAGGCTGTGACACACAATGTCTGTGTGTGGATGTGAGAGTGTGCGAGGCTGTGACACACAATGTCTGTGTGTGGGTGTGAGAGTGGCGTCAACATGGTGGTGCTGGCATCATCACCACTCTTCACTACCACTGCACACACACATAGTCAAGTTAGTGTGGTACTATTATTATTTATTATTCACAAGATTTTAGCAGTATATGTACATTTATACTAACTAATATTAGTATGTGAACACTATTATTAACTAATACCAGTATGTGTACACTAATACTAACTAATATTAGTGTTTGTACACGAATAATAACAAATATTAGTATAGGTACACTAATTATAACGAATATTAGTATATGTACACTAATACTAACTAATAATAGTGTGTGTACACTAAAACTAACTCATTTTAGTATATGTACACTAATAATAACGAATATAAGTACTAAAACTAACTAATTTTAGTATGTGTACAATAATACTAACTAATTTTAATGTGTGTACACTAATACTAACTAATATTAGTATGTGTACACTAAAACTAACTAATATTAGTATGTGTACACTAAAACTAACGAATATTAGTATGTGTACATAATACTAACGAATATTAGTATGTGTGCACTAATACTAACTAATAATAGTATGTGTAGACTAATACTAATATTAGAATGTGTACACTAATGCTAACTAATATTAGTATATGTGCACGAATACTAACGAATATTAGTTTGTGTACACTGATACTAACTAATATTAGTATGTGTACACTAATACTAACGAATATTAATTTGTGTACACTAATACTAACTAATATTAGTATGTTTACACTAATAATAAACTAATATTATTTTTTGCACACTAATACTAACTAATATTAGTAGGTGTACACTAATAGTAACTAATATTAGCATGTGTACACTAATACTAGCTAATATTAATATGTGTACACTAATACCAACTAATATTAGTATGTGCACACTAATACTAACTAATATTAGTATGTGTGCACTAATACTAACTAATATAGTAGGTGTACACTAATACAAGCTAATATTAGTGTGTGTACACTAATACAAACGAATGTTAGTATTAGTGTATACTAATTAGTGTATACTAATACTAACATTAGTGTACACTAATACTAACTAATATTAGTATGTGTACACTAATACTAACTAATATTAGTATGTGTACACTAATACTAAATAATATTAGTATGGGTACACTAATACTAACTAATATTAGTATGCGTGCACTAATACTAACTAATATTAGTATGTGTACACTAATACTAACTAACAGTAGTATGTGTACACTAATAACAATTAATATTAGTATGTTTACACTAATACTAACTAATTTTAGTGTGTGTACACTAATACTTACTAATATCAATTTGTGTACACTAATAAGAACTAATATAAGTTTGTTTTCACTAATACTAACTAATATTAGTATGTGTACAGTAATACTAACTAATATTAGTATGTGTACACTAATACTTACTAATATAAGTATGGGTAGACTATTATTAACTAATTTTAGTGTGTGTACACTAATACTAACTAATATTAGTGTATACACTAATACTTACTATTAGTTCTTATTAGTGTACACAAACTAATATTAGTAAGTATTAGTGTACACACACTATATTAGTTAGTATTAGTGAACACATACTAATATTATTTGGTATTAGTGTACACATATTAATATGAATTCGTATTTGTGTACCCACACTAAAATTAGTTCTTATTAGTGTACACAAACTAATATTAGTGTGTGTACACTAATACTAAATAATATTAGTATGTGTACAATAATACTAACTAATATTGGTATGTGTACACTAATACTAACTAATATTAATATGTGTACACTAATACCAACTAATATTAGTATGTGCACACTAATACTAACTAATATTAGTATGTGTACACTAATACTAACTAATATAGTAGGTGTACACTAATACAAGCTAATATTAGTGTGTGTACACTAATACTAACGAATGTTAGTATTAGTGTACACTAATACTAACTAATATTAGTATGTGTACACTAATACCAACAATTATTAGTATGTGTACACTAATACTAACTAATAATAGTATGTGTACACTAATACTAACAAATATTAGTATGTGTACACTAATACTAACTAATATTAGTGTATACACTAATACTTACTATTAGTTCTTATTAGTGTACACAAACTAATATTAGTAAGTATTAGTGTACACACACTATTATTAGTTAGTATTAGTGTACACATACTAATATTATTTGGTATTAGTGTACACATATTAATATGAGTTAGTATTTGTGTACCCACACTAATATTAGTGTATACACTAATACTTACTATTAGTTCTTATTAGTGTACACAAACTAATATTAGTAAGTATTAGTGTACACACACTATTATTAGTTAGTATTAGTGTACACATACTAATATTATTTGGTATTAGTGTACACATATTAATATGAGTTAGTATTTGTGTACCCACACTAAAATTAGTTCTTATTAGTGTACACAAACTAATATTAGTGTGTGTACACTAATACTAAATAATATTAGTATGTGTACAATAATACTAACTAATATTGGTATATGTACACTAATACTAACTAATATTGGTATGTGTACACTAATACCAACTAATATTAGTATGCGTACACCTATACGAACTAATATTAGTATGTGTACACTAATACTAACTAATATTAGTGTGTGCGCACTAAAACTAACTAATATTAGCTTTTGTACACAAATACTAACTAATATTAGTATGGGTACATTAACACTAACTAATTAATATGTGTACATTAATACTAACTAATATTGGTATATGTACAATAATACTAACTAATATTTGTATGTGTACACTAATACCAACTAATATTCGTATGTGTACACTAATACTAACTAATATTAGTATGTGCACACTATTACTAACTAATATTAGTGTGTGTACACTAATACTAACTAATATTAGTTCGTGTACACTAATACGAACTAATATTAGTAAGTGTACACTAATACCAACAAATATTAGTATGTGTACACTAACAGTACACGAACTAATATTGGTATGTATACACTAATACTAACTAATATTAGTATGCGTACACTAATACGAACTAATATTAGTATGTGTACACTAATACTAACTAATATTAGTGTGTGCGCACTAAAACTAACTAATATTAGCTTTTGTACACAAATACTAACTAATATTAGTATGGGTACATTAACACTAACTAATTAATATGTGTACATTAATACTAACTAATATTGGTATATGTACAATAATACTAACTAATATTTGTATGTGTACACTAATACCAACTAATATTCGTATGTGTACACTAATACTAACTAATATTAGTATGTGCACACTATTACTAACTAATATTAGTGTGTGTACACTAATACTAACTAATATTAGTTCGTGTACACTAATACGAACTAATATTAGTAAGTGTACACTAATACCAACAAATATTAGTATGTGTACACTAACAGTACACGAACTAATATTGGTATGTATACACTAATACTAACTAATATTAGTATGTGTACACTAAGAGTAACTAATAATATGTGTACACTAATGCTAACTAATATTAGTATATGTACACTAATACCAAATAATATTTGTATGTGTACACATATACTAACTAAAATTAATGTGTGTACACTTGTACTTACTAATATTGGTTTGTGTACACTAATAAGAACTAATATTAGTTTGTTTACACTAATGACAACTAATATTAGTGTGTGTACACTAATACTAACTAATATTAGTGTGTGCACACTAATACTAACTAATATTAGTGTGTGCACACTAATACTAACTAATATTAGTGTGTGTACACTAATACTAACTAATATTAGTGTGTGTACACTAATTCTAACTAATATTAGTGAGTGTACACTAATACTATTATTAGTATGTGTACACTATAAATAATTAATATTAGTATGTGTACACTAACACTACCTAATGTTAGTATGTGTACACTAATACAAACTAATATTAGTATGTGTACACTAAAACTAACTAATATTAGTATGTGTACACTAATACTAACGAATATTAATGTGTGTACACTAATACTAACTAATATTAGTGTGTGTACACTAATACTAACTTAATATTAGTATGTGTACACTAATACTAACTAATATTAGTGTGTGTACACTAATACTAACTTAATATTAGTATGTGTACACTAACACTAACTAATATTAGTATGTGTACACTACCACTAACTAATATAAGTATGTGTACATTAATACAAACTAATATTAGTATGTGTACACCAACACTAACTAATATTAGTATGTGTACACTAACACTGACTAATATTAGTATTATGAGACCTCCTATGCCAGTAACAAGATGTAGGAATAGGTTTTACCCTTTGAACTGGCACAAAAACTGACACCTTTATTCAAGGCATCATGTTTGCAATAACCACAACACAAGCGGTCAAAATGCAAACAAAAAAGACAACTCTGATAATAATATCCACTGTCTCGGGTGTGGACCAATCAAATTCATAATAGTATGTGTACACTAATACTAACTAATAATAGTATGTATTCATTAATACTAACCAATAATAGTATGTGTACGCTAATACTAACTGAAAATAGTATGTGTACACTAACTAATAATATTATGTGTACACTAATACTCACCACAGATGGACGCTCACCGACTCTGGACACAAACTCAGCCTGCGACCTCCTCAAGATTTCCTCGGATCTCAGGATGGTGACGTGGAGCGGTGTCCCCCAGGGTCGCCCCCATCACCCACACCGCTTTGAGTGCTGGGGCCAAGCGCTGTGCTCTGAGAGCTTCTCGTCGGGTCAGCACTACTGGGAGGTGGACGTGGGGAGCGCAGATGAGTGTCGGGTTGGAGTCGCGTACGGGACGATCCCACGGAGAGGGGGTGGTGCTGAGTGCTGCTTGGGAGGGAGTGACGTCTCCTGGTGTCTACAGAAAGATGACGACATCTTCTCAGTGCAGCATGGCGGGGTAACGGCGTTATTGTCGGTGCCGCAGCCTCCGCGGAGAGTCGGGATCCACCTGGACTGGGACGCGGGGCTGCTGTCGTTTTACAGCGCTGACTCCATGGCGCCGTTGCACTCGTTCCACCAAACATTCACTCAGCCCCTACACCCTGGGCTGGGGGTGTGGGGTGATGGTGAGTCAGTGAGGATCGTGGATCTGAGTGGTGCGTCCTGAGACAGGTGAACGTGAACAGCACAGATGGCAGACGCCACGACGCACGGCGCTCGCCACCTCGTCACCGTCACGCGCAGCGCCACGCCCGTGACTGGCTGTTGGCTGTCGGTGGCTAGGGGCTGCGTGGCTCTCCATCACAACGCGGGGGCTGAGTGTAAACAATCCTCACAACCTTCATGGGGGGGGGGGGGGATGGGTGATAAAATAAGTACTGCTCTGTGTGTGTGAAGCCAGCGTGGACGTATTGACCCTGCCAGAGGAGTGTGACTGTAGTGAAGGGGTGCAGTGATTAGCAATGGTGAACTGGGATTTGTTTATACACTGGTGGTGTCATGGGTTGTGGCAGAGATACTAGTGAGGAGTTGGCCTGTTACATCAACAACAGTAATATTAATAATAAATCAAATTAATAATCAAAAGTATAAATGTTCGCGTACGACAGTGGCGTTGTAACGCTTGTATCGTCGATTCTACAATAAAAATACAGAACACAAACAACAACAATGTAGTTGTGTACAGCATCATTCGTGCTCACTGTTTATTAATTAAACACGAGGACCAAATCCTCTACACAGCCACTGCCAAGCAAATTAAATCTACAAATTAATAAACAAATAAAGAGATGGCGACAAACACAAAAGGCGCCAACAATGTCCGAGCTGTTCAAGTTATCTGCTGCGTCATGGACGTGGAGACGTCACCATGCACACACCCCAAAAACCACCACCACGACAACTACCACAACAACCATCAACACAACCACCACCACAACCACCACGACAACCACCACCACAACCACCACAACAACCATCACAACAATTACAACCACCACAACAATCAGAACAACAACCACCACAACAAACACAACCCCCACAACAACCAACACAACCACGACAACAACCACCACAACAACCACGACAACAAACACCACTACAACCATCAACACAACCGCCACCACCACATCAACCACCACCACCACAACAACCACCATATCAACCACCACAACAACCACCACAATAACCACAACAATCACCACCACAACCACCACCACAACCAGCACCACAACAACAAAAAACAACCACCACGACAACCACCACAACCAACACAATCAGCACCACAACAACTACAACAACCACCACAACTACCACAACAATCGCAACAACAAGTACCACAACAATCGCAACAACAACCACCACAACAACCACAACCGCCACAACAACCACCACAACCACCACAACAACCACCATAACAATCACCACCACAACAACGACCGCAACCAACGCCACAACCACCACAGCAACCACCACAACCACCAGCACAACCACCATAACAACCACCATAACAACCACCACAACCACCACCACAACAACCACCACCACAACAATCACCACCACAACCACGACCTCAAAAACCACCACCACAACCACCACCACCACACCAACCACCACAACCACCAAAATAACCACCCCAACCACCATAACAACCAGCACCACAACCAACACAACTGCCACCACCACAATAACCACCACCCTATCAACCACCACAGCATCAACGACAACCAACCTAAAACCCACCACAACAACCACCGCAATAACCACAACAACCACCACAATCACCACAATCACAACCACCAACACAACCAGCACCACAACAACCACGACAACAACCACCACAACCACCCTAAAACCCACCACGACAACAACCACAACCATCATAACAACCAACACCACAACCACCACGACAACCACCACAACCACACCACCACAACCAGCACCACAACTAGCATCACAACAACCACAACAACCACAACAACCACCATAACCACAACAACAATCGCAACAAAAAACACAACCGCCACAACAACCATCACAACAACTACAACCACCACAACAACCAGAACAACAACCACCACAACAACCACAACCGCCACAACAACCACCACAACCACCACAACAACCACCACAACAACCAAGACAACAAACACCACAACCACCCTAAAACCCACAACAGCCACAACAACAACCACCACCACAACCACCACAACAATCGCAACAACTACAACCGCCACAACAACCACAACAACTACAACCACCACAATCACAACCGCCACAACAACTACGACAACCACCTCCACAACAAACACCACAACAATCACCAGCACAAATACCACAACAACAACCACCACAACCACCACAACAAACACCACAACCACCACGACAACAACCTCCACAACCACCACCACCACAGCAACCACCACAACAACCACCACAATAACCACAACAACCACAACAATCACCACCACAACCACCACCACAACCAGCACCACAACAACAAAAAAACAACCACCACGACAACCACCACAACCAACACAATCAGCACCACAACAACTACAACAACCACCACAACTACCGCAACAATTGCAACAAAAAACACCACAACAATCACCACCACAAATACCACAACCACAACCGCCACAACAACCACCACAACCACCACAACAACCACCACAACAATCACCACCACAACAATGACCGCGACCAACGCCACAACCACCACAGCAACCACCAGCACAACCACCATAACAACCACCATAACAACCACCACAACCACCACCACAACAACCACCACCACAACAATCACCACCACAACCACGACCTCAAAAACCACCACCACAACCACCACCACCACACCAACCACCACAACCACCAAAATAACCACCCCAACCACCATAACAACCAGCACCACAACCAACACAACTGCCACCACCACAATAACCACCACCCTATCAACCACCACAGCATCAACGACAACCAACCTAAAACCCACCACAACAACCACCGCAATAACCACAACAACCACCACAATCACCACCACAACCACCAACACAACCAGCACCACAACAACCACGACAACATCCACCACAACCACCCTAAAACCCACCACGACAACAACCACAACCATCATAACAACCAACACCACAACCACCACGACAACCACCACAACCACACCACCACAACCAGCACCACAACTAGCATCACAACAACCACAACAACCACCATAACCACAACAACAATCGCAACAAAAAACAACCGCCACAACAACCATCACAACAACTACAACCACCACAACAATCAGAACAACAACCACCACAATAACCACAACCGCCACAACAACCACCACAACCACCACAACAACCACAACAACAACCACGACAACAAACACCACAACCACCCTAAAACCCACAACAACCATAACCACAACAACAACCACCACCACAACCACCACAACAAACGAAACAACTACAACCGCCACAACAACCACCACAACAACTACAACCACCACAATCACAACCGCCACAACAACCACGACAACCACCTCCACAACAAACACCACAACAATCACCACCACAAACACCACAACAACAACCACCACAACCACCACAACAAACACCACAACCACCACGACAACAACATCCACAACCTCCACCACAGCAACCACCACAGCCACAACCACAACCGCCACAATAACCACCACAACAACTACAACCACCACAAGAATCACAGCAACAACCACCACAACAACCACCACAACAACTACAACCACCACAAGAATCACAACAACAACCACCACAACAACCACCACAACAATCACCACCACAAATACCACCACAACAACCACCACAATCACCACAACAACAACCACCACAACCACCACAACAAACACCAAAACCACCACCACAACAACCTCGACAACCACCACCACAGCAACCACCACAACCACAACCGCCACCACAACCGCCACAACAACCACCACAACAACTACAACCACCACAAGAATCACAGCAACAACCACCACAACAACTACAACCACCACAAGCGTCACAAGAACCACCACAACAACCACCACAACAACCACTACCACAACCACCACCACCACAACAACGACCACAACAACCATGGCAACCACCTCCACAACCACCACAGCAACCACTACCACAACCACAATAACCACCACAACCACAACTGCCACAACAACCACCACAACAACCACAACTGCCACAACAACCACCACAACAACCACCACCACAACAACGACCACAACAACCACCTCCACCACCTCCACAACCACTAGCACAGCAACCACTACCACAACCACCATAACCACCACAACCACCACAACCGCCACAACAACCACTACAACATCCGCAACTGCCACAACAACCACCACAACTACCACCACAACAACCACCACAATCACCACAACAACAACCACCACATCAAACACCACCACCACAACCACCGTAACCACCTCCACATCCACCACCACAACAACCACCACAACTAGAATAACCACCACCACCTCAACAACCACCACCACAACAACCACCACCAACACCACAACTACAACCACAACAATTTCCACAACCACCACCACATCAACCACCACAACAACCACCACGACTACAACAACCACCACAACAACCACCAAAACCACCACAACGACCACAAAATCCACAACCAAAACCACCGCAACAACCACAACAACCACCATAACCACCACCAGCACCACAACCACCACAACAACAACCACCACAACCACAACAACCACCTCAACCACCACCTCAACAACCACCACAACCACCACAACAACCACCACAAGCACCACCACCACAACAACAACCACCTCCACAATAACCACCACATCCACCACCACAACAACCACCACAACTAACACCACAACTACAACCACAACAACCTCCACAACCACCACCACAGCAACCACCACAACAATCACCACAACAACCACGACAACAACCACCAAAACACCACCACAACAACCACAAAATCCACAACCAAAACGACCACCGCAACAACCACAACAACCACCACAACCACCACCAGCACCACCACAACAACATCACCACAACAACCACCACAACTACTACCACCACTACCACAACCAAAACCAATACAAAACACCACCAGCACCACAACAACCACAATAACCACCGCAACCACCGCAACAACCACCACTACAACAACCACCACTACCACCGCCGCAACAACATCACCACAACAACCAGCACAACTACCACTACCACAACCACCACCACCACTACCACGTGTGAACTTCACACAGTGACAGGGACTAGGAACTAACAATAAAAGTCGTCCCAAGGCTTTGCGTCAACACGACTCACACATATTCCGGATAAGGGCAACAATTATTAATATATTTATACACTCATACATATTTGTACATATTCACTAAATGTGAAGGGAAAAACTGGAGGACCCAGAGAAAAATCCACGCGACCACGCCGAGAGAGAGACGCAAACTCCAAATATACAGCCAGCGTCAGATAAAACCCAGGTCCTGTTATACACCAGGGAAGGGAGATAACATCTCCCCACTATGGCACACAATCCATTGCTCTGTCTTACCATAGACACCGACTTGTGCACTGAGCTGTGGAAGGATGAGTCTATCTCTCGATACTCATCTCACGATTGAGCTTTTGCAGCCGAGTATATTTTATTTATGTTAATATCAACAATAACTAATTCCTTTAAGGGTTTTTTTCTTTAAATGCGTTTTTTTATAGTAAATTCCTTTGCTATATTATGTTCATTGAAGTTAAATCCCAACAGGCCTGTACAGTAGCCGTATGCATTGTGTTTGTGCACGTAAGATGCAGGTTCACATTCCAAGCAGTGTCTCATGATGTCAATAACGACAATGAAAATATTCTAAGTATTTTACTTCTTTACCGTCGCTATAAGAGAGAGGTCCTTGTCCAGCGTCTCTCTGAGCCACACAGTGAGCGAAGCCAGCAGGTCGCCATCTCAATGCCCACAGGTCGAATCTCAATGCCCACAGTTAATGAAGTTTTGAGTTTGGGATCCACCAACCCTTGCCTCCAGCCTGCTCATTCCACTCCAATAACTCAGTGCTCCCAGCATGCGCTGCTGCTCCACTGCAGTGTTCGTCAATGGGTCTCTACAAGTCCATGGGTTCTGCTGAGTGGGTCTTGGAGACTCGTTCTGTTCTATGGGTCTGTGCACGTGTGGGTGTCTATGTCAGTCTAGGTTGGTGGTTACTCTCGTAGCCACTATACCCACAATATCTGGAACTATTCAGGCAACATCACATGTTCCCTGCCTAAAATATCGTTGGAACCCTCCTCATCAACAACCCCTTGATGTATTTCTGATTGTCACCAGGTGGGTACGTGAATAGGTATTCAAAGTTTAACCTGCCAAGTAGTGGAGAGACCAGAATGAGTCTCATCTGCAAGCTTAAACTGGTGCAGGAGTCTGCCAGTAGCAGGCGATGATTGCAGCTGCTGTGTGCAATCACAATTGAGATAACATCTCGCCGTGGTCGTGAGATGTTCACTCCTCTGCCTTGTATGCACGAGGTCGCGGGTTCGATCCCGACCCCGACGCCTGTATATTTGGTGTTTGCATGTTCTTTCTCTCCCTTTGGTCTTGTGGATTTTTCTCTGGATTTCTCTGTTTCTTTGCTCCATATTTAGAATCAACAAATGCTCAGAGAATTTGGCTGCTGTAAATTTCAACATTACGATTAGCCTCTTCGTTGAGCTATCATGTGTGATAGCCAGGTTGCTTCTGGAAAAGAGCTGCATAGTTCAGTGAGTCTTACCTTGTAAAACACAACAAAAATAGTTGGTATGGTTGTAGATATCTCATAATGTCCTGTAATTCTATTTCTGGGTAATTCCCCCAATGCATCAACTTGCTTGAATGTCATCGTGGCATCCGAGATAGAATTTATCTGTAGACCTTACCTGGTAAATACAAAAAAATAGTAAAAATTTGCGGTGTAATTTTTGCGATTTGGAAAAGTGACACTAGTGCACAAAGGGGACTACCCTTGAGAATGATGTCCCAGGATGGTGAACGTCGACTGTGCAGTAGACTGAGCAGTGACGGTGACAGCACCCGCAGTCATGGAACCTAAACGAAGTGGCAAGCACTGCCGCAAGACCACCTTGCTGCCCCAAAACGTGGGTTAATCGAACTTTATCCAACTTGGCAATATCCCCCTCACTAAAGTAGAAATAGGTGCACATTACCGCAGGATGAAGACGGTAGTAAGGGCCTAGAACAACAAAAATTGAAAGAAAATCCTGTCGTGACCTCAGCGGCTAATGCTGAATGGGCAAAATAAAGTGCAACCATACGCAATTAATATATAGCGTGAAAAATGTCTACGTCGTAAATCAAATAAATAATACATAGTTAAACCATGGAAAAACAATAAAATTAGGATGCCAGTGGTGGACGAGTTCTCTTTGTTGGAAGTACATTTGCTTCCATCGCGTATTTCTGTGCTCCTTAACGGATGTAATTTGCATCATTAGACTTCCTTTGCCAGTACCAAAATATAATAATCGGGTTTTTTCCCTTTTTTCTGGCAACAAAACTGAAACCTTTTTACAAGGATTCATGTCTGCATTGACCACAATACCTGCAGTCAAAATGCAAACAAAACACATACTATTATAATATTTGCATTGTCCTTGTAACTGATTGGTCCACACCAAGGGACGGCTTTCTTTTGCGCCTCCACCCAATTGGTGCTCGACCAGATGACGCCTTTTGGCGTCATCTGGTCTAGCACCAATTCGTCCACCACTGGCGCCTGGTCGAGCACCAATTGGGTCGAGGCTCAAAAGAAAGCCGTCCCTTGGTGTGGACCAATCAGTTTCAAAGACAATGCATATATTATCATTTTTTTGCATTTTGTCTGCAGGTATTGTGGTTAATGCAGACATGAATCCTTGTTAAAAGGTTTCAGCTTTGTTGCCAGAAAAAAGGGGAAAACCCCTATTATTAGGATGTAATTTGATTTAGCACAAGCTGAGCCAACTTGTTTTTGGCCCCGATGCAAGTTAACCGACTACCTTTTCAAAACAGTTAGGGTGGTAAAAATGATCAAATATTTTACCTGGGAAATGTCCCTCGAGATGGAACCTCTCATTAGCAGGAGAGGGTGTCCAGGGTGCCGACTGACGCACGCCAAAAAAATAACAAGAATGAGCATCATGGAGATTGAAAAAAATGTCTTAAAAATGCAACCATCAACCTGATTGCAAAAACACTCCCATACAGAAATACAGGTCTCGCCGGTTCTGACACTCGTACAAACAGTGCACAATGCATCCCATCCGGTGTCACCTGAGCGCAAGACTTATCCGGTTCAGTCAGTAAGCACCAGAGCTTTGCACTTTAAAACAATCTAAATTGACAAATTTATTTGTGTAGATTTGCTTCTTGTTTTGTTTAGTTTGTCTTTTTATACATCTACGATTAGCACGGTTCGCTACGTACCATGTGAAAAACTATACAGTCTCATATTTACATTCATTATGGCGCTTCTTGTTATCTTGGTTGCCTGGGTCACTCGTGGTGGGCAGAGAGTTGGGGAGGGTCAAGCCACCAACGACAAAACTTGGCCACATCTGCCGGCGGAGTCGTAGCTCAGTCGGCTCTCGTCAGGGAAGTAAACTTCTGATTCTTCTGATTCTGAAGTGTGTGTGAGTGTAGGTGAGTGGGAGGGTGGATGAGTGGGTGGGTGTATGAGTGGGTGAGTGTGTGGGCGGGTGAGTGAGTGTGTAATTGTGGTAGTGAGCGCGCTGCGATACGAACCTGGAGACCCGAGTTTGATTCCCCGTTCACAGACAACACCAGTGACGATTATCTGAACTGTTCCTGGGCCTCCCCTAGGTCAACTCAGCCTCAAATGTCGCTAGAGTGACAAAGGCGGTCGGGCGGGGCGCTGGCCACCCACCCCCTTGTGTGCCGTGCCGGCCTTCGTAGGTGCTCGCTAACAGGACTTGCCCCAACAGTCTGTTAAGGTTATACAGAAAATATTTGTCTTTGTGTACTTGTGGAATGCTTTGATGATGTCTGCTGGCCGAAACCCCCCCTTGATAAATAACTGTTTAGCTCAATGGGCTCGACTGAGGGAAGATAACTTTTGGTTCTTCTGAAAAACCTTGATGAGCAGCCATCAGGCTTTGTCTAGCTGCCAAGTTGCCTGTGCATCGCACCACACTGTGCCTCAACACGTTAGAGGGGCATCGTGGTGTGATGAGCAAAGCCCGGACCACTTGGGGGGGGGGAGCGGGATGTAGAAAGACGGATGGAGGATGCGTGTAAAATAGCCGTGCAGGTGAATATGGAACAACGCAGGTGAAATAAGTTGTGGGTGCGGCTGTGCATGTTCGGAATGGGAATCTCCAATCTCAGACAAGGTGAGAGACGGTGACATCGCCAGCAGTGGGTGATGGAGGCAGGTAGAGTTGGTGATAGATTCACACTGCTAGAAAAAGGCTCACTATTCCAGGATGGGTCACGAGAGGCTACAGACAAATTCCATCTCGGATGCCACGATGACATTCAAGCAACTCGTCAAGTTGAGGGAATTACACGAAGATGGAATTACAGGACATCATGAGATATCTACAATTACACAAATCTCTTATTAATTTTACCAGGTAAGGCTCTCTGTGCTATGTGGCTTTTTGTCAGAAGTGACCTGGCTATTACAAATGAGAGCGCAATGAAACGGCTTATGTGGAAATTGTTTACAGCCAAATACTCCAAATGTGTGATGCTGATTCTGAATGGGGAGGGTAAACCGGAGGACCCAGATACAAATTTCCGTGACCAAGGGGAGAGAGAAAGCCACAAACTTTAAACACAAAGCAGCCGTAAGGCGAGTGAGATCACATCTCATAGTCACGGTGGCACCCAATCCATTGCTCTGTCTTACCATAGACACCAACTTGTGCGCTGAACTCTAGAAGGATGTGTCTATCTCTCGATACTCATTTCATGCATGAGCCACCACAGCTGAGCCTCACCGATTTATATTAACAAATAATTTCTTTAAATGTATATATTTATGAAAATATTACATTCCTTTGATACATTTTGTTCATGTCAAAGCGTGTACTGTAGCCATGTTTACCTTGAAGCTGCTGTTTGTGCACCAAGGGCATGGGTTCAGATTCCTGGCAGTCATATTATTTGGGTATTTCCGTAAAGTCACGTACAACAAAAAAAATGTTGTTCTACATGACTTTACCGAAAGATCCAAAAATATGAATTCCTGCAGTTACGAAAGCTTTAAGTCAAGATTCCGAGCAGTGTCTCGAGATGTCAGTGACGACAATGAAAATATTTCAAGTATTTTACTTCCTTCTTCACCGTCGCTATAAGAGAGAGGTCCTGATTCAGCATCTCTCTGAGCCACACAGCGAGCGATCCCAGCGAAGCCCATGGGTCATGGCGAGCGCGACTCCCAGTGAGAGTGTGGATAGTGACCTGCGCTGCTCCATCTGCCTGGACACGTTCGTCTGCCCCTCCACGCTGAGCTGCTGACACAACACACGAGAGGCCTCACTTGGAGAATCCCAGGCTGAGAGACCACGTCCTGGTGGCTCCCACCGTGAACATGGAGGAGCGACAGTGCCAGCAGCACAGACAGGAGCTCATTCTTTACTGTGAACAGGATGAGAGCCCGGTCTGCCCAGTCTGCACCATCACAAGAGACCACTCCGGACATAGGTTCATCACAGTGGAAAAAGCGAAACAGACAAGACAGGTGAAGTGTAATGTTCCGTTGTAATCCACATTGTTACAGGAGGTTGAGAGATTCACATAAGTAGGTCGTGACCTCTCACTTCGACCAGGTGAGCGCCTGCTAAAATCTTGAGTTAGAATCTCGTTGGACGCCCATGGTTTAAACCGGATTCTCAAGGTTAGTGAGTTGATCGTCTAAGACCAGTCAACATTTGTCAACATGTCAAATCATATTTTGTATGAGAATTAAAAATACTAGTTTGATTAACTGAGAAACATTACTATGCCTCATATGGCGTGTGAGAAGCCGCTACACCCATCACTGGAAGAGGTTTAAAACATTTTAGAATGTAAGTGATATTTGTCAATAATGTTGTCTCACAGGATATTGCATTGCACCAAGGTAGTTCCAATTGGATTTTTCATCTCAATACATGACACGGATAGTGAAGTCGGGATACAATCGTGGGAAAAGTCAAAATATGAATGGAGACGTTTGCAGAAATATAATGACAACAGATGTGTGTATGTGTGTTGAACTTCTTTCATAGCCAACCGTGCTAATCAGAGATGCGGGATGATGATCAATCAGTGATCCACCAATGGCAATGGTGAGCACCGCGTATTTATTTATGTATCTTCCACACTCAGGAGTTGCTCAGAATCAAGAAGGATGGGAGGGAAGAGAAGAGGAACATGGTGGCGTCACGGACACGGACACTCAGGGATGACTACCGGCACTTGAAGGTATAGAGAGAGACGGCAGCGGCACAATTCCCTCTTCTAGTTTTCCTAAGAATAATATTTCATTAAACTTTGCTTTCATCATTGACGAGCACTGCCACACGCATCGGCGCGGGAAATAGCGTTGGTGAATTGCAAGCAATTACAACTTGCTGGCTGTTTGTCTGCCCAGACTTCTTTTTAAGCCTATTTATTTGAGGGAATAACATTTATGAAACGTGAACCTTCAATTAAACAATTGCTTACGTGTATTTTTACACATCAATTACATTTTTATTCAACATTTGGGAAACATTATTTCCGGTTTACGAAGGCTCGATTTGCCTCAAACGTTTACGACATGAATATAAGGCCACCACTGAACGACACAGAAACTTCATTTATGACGTAACTTCCAACATGATAGCAGTTTTGGTTTAGGCGGGACGGAATCTATCCACGCTGGACGAAGTGTTGACGACTTGCCCTGTCGATTACTTTATTGATCACAACCACGAAGCTTGCCATGGAAGCTTCTGACCCCCAAAAATGGACAGCACCAACTTAGTCTGAGTGCATGGGAGAGTGGACGTGAGTATTGCCTTCGAAATCAGTATTGTTTGTCTCTTTAAGCAAATTTTCACTTAAAACAATAGAGCAATGCCACGTGTATTTGTTCTGTATATTCACGTACCTTTGGCACAATTTTCTGGGAATGTCCATGGCAGGAGAATTTGTTTCGATTAAATTTGTGTTTCTTTCTGATGCACTGTTTGGTAGATCCAGAATGGAATGGAGGGACAGACAGATGCGAATGATACCCATAGAGATGTATTTAATTTTCCACAGATAGGCACTCATCAACGTGTAGCTACAGACAGCAGTATTTCCAATACTACCCATGCCTATGATAGTTTCCCCTTATATTCCATTGTCATTCTCCCTGTGCTTTATATGTTCACGAGCTCCCAATGCACACGTCACTCACCTCCGTGTACATAATCGAAGTATGGTAACAATCATTGCCTGTAAAACACCACATTGCGTCATTGCCTTATGAGTGAATCAACAACTCGGCACTGTCTGTGTAGGAGTCTCTGCGTGGGATCAAGGCGCGGATCAGCCGAGAGTTTGAGCGCCAGAAGAAGGAGGAGAGGGAGGCGCTGGAGCGCGTAGATGAAGAGGGCCGCTCCGTGCTGTCCCGCATCCAGGCGGACATTGCTCGCTACGAGAGCAGAGCATGCGGCCTGGAGCAGGAGATCAACCAACTGCTCGCCGCCCTGGCCATACAGGACCCGCTCTCCTTCCTGCAGGTGGCTCCACATCCATTCACACGCCGCAGTGGCTAGGAGATGTTAACTACCTCGCCTGATATGCAATAGGTCGTAGGTTTTATAATAACCATGATGTCTGCTGTATATTTGGAGTTTGCGCCTCTCTCTCTCTCCTCGTGGATGCTTGGATTTTTTCGGGGTCCTTCAATTTTTCCCTACACATTTAGATTCAACATCATGGGACCTCCTTTGCCAGTACCAAAAATATGATAATAGGTTTTTCCCATTTTTACGGCAAAAAAACAGGTGTTGAGATGTTAAAACACCAAACTGAAACTTTTTACATGGAATAATTTCTGCATTAACCACAATGATTGTAGTCAGAATGCAAAAAAAAAACGGATACTCTGATAATATATACATTGTCCTTGACACTAATTGGTTCACACCAGAGACAGCTTTCTTTTGAGCCTCGTCTCAAACGGTGTTAGACCAGAGGATGCCAAAAGGCGTACAGCACAAAGACAATGCACTGTCAGAGTAATGAGAGCTAGGGGTGAGCATCTGAGGGGCTACCTTAGTGTATCGAGTGTAAGGCGCAGTTATCCTTTTGTGTTAAGAAGTTATTGTTAAATAAATTACGTTTGCCTCAGAGAACTCTCCTCTAGTTATGTAACCCACTACAACTGGCGTCAGTAGTGGCCACATTAGCTAGTATGGAAACTAGAAGGAAAGTTCGTACCAAAAGCCCGGGAGAAGACGACGATGACTCGGTTGCCGCAGGGACAACAAACCCTGGGGTGGACGGCGAGTTGCTGCCGGCTGAGCTGCAGCCAGCCCGACCATCCGGCAGATCGCCGACTTCGGGGGGTGCGCTCCGAGGTGCACACTCCCATCTTGTCGAGCTTCTCCACGCGGCAGCCAACATACTTGACGAAATAAATTGCGGGGGGCCGACGGCAGAGGAGGAGAGAGGAGCGGTCTATGTTCAACGGTCGCTCCCGCCAACAGGCCGGCTAAAGATTTTGAAATTCCTACCCCAGACAACACGTCTTCCACCGGAAGTGGAAGCCAAGTGCACCATGGGAGCGGCCCGGACTAACCGGAGAGTGCCTCATCATCGGCGGCACAACCAACACTGGGGGCCGCCATCTTGACGCCTGTCAGCGGCGCAAGGTTTGAAGAGGAGCGGCAGACTACGGGGCGCGTGCCATCCTTCCAACAGCGAGTGCCTCTGTTAAAATAATTCTCCATGGTTGGGGGCGATTGGGCGGCATTCCAGCACCGGTTCCTCGCCCACTGGGAGATGGCAAGTTGGACTGAGGAGAAGGCGATGTGAGCGCCCCTGGCTGCTTTGGACGATGATGCCCTCACTGCCCTCATCACCATCCCGAAGGCGGACTGATCTGCACTCTAGCTAGCGCTCCGCCACATGTCAGCGATCTATGGGCCACCCTCGGACATGCGTCACCACTTCGCTGCTCAATGTAAGGGTGAGACGGAATCTCCCCTCACATTTTGCAGTGCTCTGCTGTCAATGGCGAAGGCCAATTTCCCGCAGATGGACTGTGAGGACATTGACACGCTTGTTTTGGAGAAATTGTTGGTGCTGGCACATGAGCTGCGGATCTTCATTCACGCTGTGGATGATGAGCACATGTGCTCCCTGCATGCCGCGAGGAGCATTCACGCACACCTGCTGCTGCAAAGAGAACCAAGCCTCGCTGCCTACTCAAGGACTGTGGAGTCCTGTGGTTTGCCGGCCGGCACACCACCCGACCAGGCCTTTGCGATAACTCAGCCTGCGGGTTGGAGATCCAACGAACATCTGCAATGATGGGACTTCCACCAGCGGGGACCAGCTCCTCCATGGCCAGACGCAGCCTTCATCACCTGCTATAATTACGGCTTGTGGGGCATGTGTCGTGGGACTGCCGAGCACCTCGACGTCGCGCATCCGGACCCTGGCCTTTGGACCCTAGAGCACCCAAGGCTTCGCAGCATGCTCAGGTGAGTCACGGCACCACACATGTTCAGCCCCTCCTTACACCTCATACACCTCACTGTGTCGCGTTGCATGTTCACCAGTGGTCAGTGGCCCGAGCTGGCCCATAGGGTTGTTTCCAGGGCCGCATGATTTTTCATCGTGATAGACTCTATCGAGGGTGTTGAATTTCTTGTTTTGGTCGATACCGTCGCGTCAGCGACCATTATTTCGGACCTCATCTACAATATTCTACCCATTAAGCATCGCCCCCTGCAACCAATTGAAATCCGGTGTTTTGCTGCCAATGGGGGATCGCTCAGCATAATTGGCCAGATACAAGCCTAAATTTGTATTGGTAAACATTAAATTGCTCGGTCCTGTCCAGGTCTCCTTTTCCCTCGCTGTTCCATGCCGGCTGGGGAGACATCTTGGCGAAAATTCCGATTAATATTCTCATCAAATCAGGGTTGCATCGACCTTCCGTCAGGCCAACGTATGGCGTTTCTGCCCTCCCCCACGAAGTTGAGCACGGCCTGTGCTACTGTGCAGGCGTTGGTAACCCAGACAGTGCATATTCCGCCGGGCACACAGATGCTAGTGCCCCTTCGATTGCGGAAACCCTTTGGTATCTTGTTGGGTCCGTCGAATGCCGTGGTTAGGGGGTTGGACCTGGTGGCCACACAGACTCTGTTGGATGGTTGTACGGACCCTTTCATCATGGTCCTGAATGCTGGGTTGCGACCGGCCGTCATTTCTCAGGGAACCGTACGCTCTCACATGACACCGGCGCCCCTGGGAAACCCGGTTGTGGGCCACGTGGGTACCATACCTAGGTCGCAGCCACGCTCGACCCGGACGACGGTTGGTTAATTTCGCTCTGCTTGGGGGCTGACGACCTGTCCAAGTCACAGCGGGCCAAATTACGTGCACTTTTACGGGAATTCTCTGATGTCTACAGTAAAAGCAAATTTGATATTGGCTGCACTAAATTACTGCGTCATCACATTGACACGGGCGACGCTGCTCCCATTAGGCAGAATCCATTTCGGCTCAGCCCAGCCGACAAGGAACATGTCAAGTTGGCCGTCAATGACATGCTGGCGGCGGACATAATTTCCCCATCAACCAGCCCGTGGGGAGCTCCCATCATTCTCGTGAAAAAACACGATGGCACTTTGAGGTTCTGCGTCGATTTTCGCTGTCTCAATAAAATCTCAGTGGCTAACGCTTACCCGCTTCCTCGTATGGATGAATCGCTGGACGCCTTGGTGGGGGCACGTTATTTCTCTGCGTTGGACATTTTGTCAGGTTTCTGGCAACTCCCCCTTAACGACGTGTCCAAACCCATAACTGCCTTTCGGACACCACAGGGCCTTTTTGAATTCAGCAGGTTGCCCATGGGCCTCCACTCAGCACCAGCGATGTTCCAGCGGCTAATGGAACTGGTCCTCGATGGGCTTCAGTGGGACTCATGTTTGATTTATTTAGATGATGTTATCATCTTTAGCCACACATTCAAGAAGCATCTTGAACGCTTGAGGGCCTAAAGTTCAAGCCGCAGAAATGCCACCTTCTGCGAGAGTCTGTGCATTACCTGGAACACATTGTTAGCCAGTCGGGCATTTTTACTAACCCCGAGAAAATGAGGTGTGTCAGCTCGTGGCCGACTCCTATTTCGGTGGGAGAGGTGCGTAACTTTATTGGGTTTGCTTCGTATTACCATCGCTTTTTGACTGACTTTGCTTCGATCGCAAAACCCCTACACGCCCTGACGGCCAAGGGTGTCAGATTCCACTGGGGGAAGGAGGAGGAGACTGCATTCCAATCATTGCGCGATGTCCTGGTGAATGCCCCACCTTTGAGTTACCCAAACTTTTCCGAGCAACACCGGCATTGGCGGGGTGCTTTCACAGGTCATTGGCCGGGTCGAGCGTGTAATTGCTTATGGCAGCAGGGTGTTGTCCCCGGCGGAGCAACGCTACTGTGTTACTCGCCATGAGTTATTGGCAATTGTGTTTTTTATCCAGCAATATTGGCCATACCTGTACGGCAGGAATTTTACCGTTTGATCGGAGCATGCGGCGTTGCAATACACCTTGCGCATTGACCAACCATCCGGTCAATTCTCCAGATGGCTTGAGGTCCTTCAGCACTCCGATTTCATGGTTACCTACCGCAAAGGCACTCGACATTCTAACGCCGATGCTTTGTCTCATTTACCAACAAGCGACAAATGTGCTTGTTTCCTCGGTTCAGGCCATTGCAACCTACCAGAAGTTGGCCCGGTTCCGCCCCTCACAGCAGCTGCCGATGTGCTCCCTTCTGGGTCGTGTCTCTCAGGGGACCCTGTTGAGCCAGCCGGTTGGGACGACATTCTCAACCTGACTCTCGCTGAATGGGGTCGCCTCCAAATGGAGGATGCATCCCTGCTTACCTTGCATCGCCGCACAGGGCACTTGGCAAATGGTCGAGGAGGTTTTGATTCCCTTTTCTTGTGCAAAGGCCTCCTTATAAAATGGGATGGTAGATCCCAACCACACAAAATTGTCGTACCCTCTGCCCTGTGAGGCAGGGCCGTTTTGGCCGCGCACGAGCATTTATTGCACCTCGGGGCTCACAAAACCTTCGCCAGGCTCCAGCTGGATTTCTTCTGACGGGGCATGGCACGGGATGTGGCTGACCTATTCATGGGCTGCACCCAGTGTGCATGGCAGAAGCCTCCAGCAAAGCCAGTGTGCCCACCCCTGCAGTCTAGCAAGATGTCCGACATCAACGAGCTTGTCGCATTGGACATCCTGGGACCTTTTCCTACCACACCTAGGGGTAACAAGTACCTGCTGGTTGGGGTGGAGTATTTTACACACTGGCCCATGGCCTGGCCACTCCCCATCCAGTCGGCAGCAGCCATCACTGACGCCTATGTCCAGGGCTACGTCCTCGACAAAGGTGTTCCTGAGCGGCTGCTGACCGACCAGTGAAACATTTCTCAAGCACCCTGCTGCGTGAAGTGTGTAACCTTTTGGGCAGAAAAACTGTCTGTACCTCACCGTACCACCCACAAACCGACGGTATGGTAGAACGTCTGCATAAGATGCTTATTTTTATGTTGTGCCACCAGGTGAGTGACTCCCAAATTGATTGGGATCCACAGATCCCCGGGGTCCTGGGCGCGTACAGGATAGCTCCTCACGCGGTGACAGGATTCACACCTTTATTTTTTAAGTATGGCAGGGATGTGAACCCTCCCGTGGAGGCCCAGCTTCGTATCGCTTAACACACCTCTAAATCTAAACTGGCGGATCACTTGAAATTCAACATACAGAAATTGGCTGAGACACGGGAGGCCGTCATTGAAAATGCGGGCTCTCGCCAGAGAACCAACGAGAGGTTACGTGCCCTTCGGTTGAATGCGCATGAATGGGTCATGGGGGACAAAGCCTGGCACCAAAATCCCCAGGTGCCCTTGGCAGCATCGCCTAAGTTGCTCAGCCCCTGGAGGGGCCCAGTTGAATTTGTCCAAGTCGTCTGCCCCCAGTGTGTCAAGGTCAGATGGGGCAGATGTTGCTGGTTCGTCCACCACTCGCGCCTTAAACCCTTCGTCGTGCTGAGTACTCCCACATCACTTACACACCGTGGGGGCCAACCATGTGATGTGCCCGATGACCCTGGGAATGCTTCCTTAGCACCTAACTCTCACCAAAGTCATGATGTTCCGCCCCTAGATGGTGCAGGAGTGACGGTTCCGTGCCCATCCACGCCACCCACTCCTGACGTTGAACACACAACCGGCCTGCTGGCTGTACCTACAGATGAGACAGTCGCGTCCACTCCTATGCCACACCACCCTGTCCCTTACGACGGACCGGCTACATGAACGCGCACAAAAATCATGCGTTTGTCGTGACCTTTTCCCCCCACGCACCCACACATGCGCTGTAACGACCACTTATCTTGATAACCGCCAGTTCACCTCGGTCGATGAACGTCACCTATTTCGTCTCCGTGCGTTGCATGCATCGTTTTTGCCATGGTTGGTGTGTTCTGGCGGGGTTGAGTGTATGGCCGCTCGTGATTGTGTATATGTGCATAATGCATATTTGTACAGGTGGGCTGGGGTATTTATGTTGGGTTCTTTGTTGTTGATGTTCATTTTGTTATTGACGAGGCACATGCATTCCGATTTTGTTATAAAACTTTATTAAGGGGATAGTTGACAGCCAGGACAGCTGAGTGCTATGAGGCGGGGAGGGGGGGGGTGATGTAAAGGTATTATTGGGTGAAGATGCGCCATCTCCATGCAGTTAGCCGGTAGTACCGGTCATGTGCCAATAAGGGGCATAAGAGGGGATAAGCCCCAGTGTTAAGGGACTATGGCCCACAGGGGCCAATGGTAACCCTTATGGAATGGCATGTAGACCCCAGGAGGGGGCTGGGGGAGGACATCACCCCCAGGTCCTGCTGGAAGGTTCAAGAAGGAAGGTGTGGCCAGGGCGGAGCAAGCCACAGCTCTGTATTAAAGCCGGACCTCTGAACGGTCTTGGAAGTCCTCGCTCACCCGAAGATCGAAGAGCCTCCTGAAGAGAAGAGCCCAATGGGTAAATCCATACCCTTGGCTAGGGTCGGCTCAAGCTTAATCCATTGAAGACCAAGCTTCACTCAAGAAGGGTGTAGGTTAGCCAGTGAGAGGCGTATTAGTCCAGAGGGGCTACCTCCTTAGTGTATCGGGTGTAAGGCACCGTTACCCCCTTTGTGTTAAGAAGTTATTGTTAAATAAATTACGTGTTGCCTCAGAGAACTCTCCTCTAGTTATTTAACCCACTACACATATATTATCAGAGTATTTTTTTTGTTTGCATTATGACCACAAGCATTGTGGTTAATGCAGACATGATTCCTTGTAAAAGGTTTAAATTTGGTGTTTTAACATCTTAGCACATTTTTTGTTGCCAGAAAAAAGGGGTTAAAATCTATTACCATATTTTGGTACTGGAAAAGGAGGTCCCATGATGTAGATGCTCACCCCGAGCTCTCATTACTCTGATAGTGCATTGTCTCTGGGCTGTACGCCTTTTGGCATCCTCTGGTCTAACACTGTTTGAGACGAAGCTCAAAAGAAAGCTGTCTCTGGTGTGGACCAATCAGTTTCACGGACAAGGCATATATTATCAGAGTATTTTTTTGTTTGCGTTCTGACCACAAACAGTGGTTAATGCAGACATGATTCCTTGTAAAAGGTTTCAGTTTGGTGTTTTAACATCTTAACACCTGTTTTGTTGCCATAAAAAGGGGAAAACCTATTATCATTTAGAATCAACATTAAGTGGTTAGAGTAATTTGCTGCTATACATTTCCACATGATAAGCCACTTCGTTGAGTTACAAAATATGTTTCTAATAGTTTTTCCTCACAGCCTTGGTTTATTAAAGGGTTTATCTACAACCAGCAGAGGCAAACCGCCCTGTGAGACGTTGACATTGTTGGCAATCTTATTTCATTGTTTTTTGATCTGGGGGTAAGCGGTAGTGTCCAATAATAGACGCGCATTTGCTTCCGTGTGACATTCAGACCTGGACTTGTCCAGTACAACATCGCCATTTACCTCGACTGGTATGGAGGAGGTCGTGGGTTTGACCTCAACCCTGACGATGCCTGCTGTAAATTTGGAGTCTACGTCTCTCTCTCTGTGATCGTGTAGATTTTTTTCTGATTTTTCACTCCACATTTGTAATCAACATCACGCATTCAGAGTATTTGGCTGCTATTATAAATGTCCACATAAGCCAGTTCGTTCAGCTAGCATTTGTGATAGCCAGCTCGCTACTGAAAAAGTGTGACATAGCCAAGTGGGCCTTACGTTGTTTATTCAGAGTTCAGAAAAAGAGTTGTTGAACATTACTTTTTTAGCTGCAAAGAGTGGTTTTCTCATATTCTTTGGGTATTTCGGTAAAGCCAAGTAGATAGAAAAAATAATAAAAAATATCAAGACGTTTCGATCGCAACAAGCAATCGTCATCAGTCCATGTCCAGTAAAACGAACCCTGTTTTTATTATTATTTTTAAGTTAGGCATCCACTCTACGCCCGTCCTTGTGGAAGAGGTACGTGGATGACATGTTTGTCATCTGGCCACATGGCCGACCAGTTCTGAACCAATTCCTCAACCACATCAATTCCATACACCCAGCCATTAAATTCACCATGGAGGTAGAAAATGATGGCAAGATACCATTCTTGGATGTCCTAATCAAAAAGAGACCAGATGGCTCAATGAGCCATTCTTGTCTACAGGAAAGCCACCCATACTGATGCCTACCTAAAACCTGATTCCCACCACCATCTATCCCAGATGAATTCCCTCATGAAAACTTTACACCATAGAGCTCAATGCATCTCCAACCGTGAACACCTATCCAGTGAACTCAAACACATACATCAAGCTCTCAAGGCGAATGGATATTCTGACTACACAATCCGCAAAGCCATCACCCCAACCGTGAGGAAGGAGCCCTCTGAGGATCCAATCAAAACCATCACCGTGCCTTACCTAGCAGGGGTAACCAAAAATATTTCCTAAATCTTGAACAAATACAAGATCCAGGTCCGATGTCACAAAGCACATAAAATTCGTAATCTGATCCCATCTGTGAAGGACAAGATCCCTGACATGCAATATCCTGGCGTCCACAAACTAAGCTGTGTCTGTGGCAGTAATTACATTGGGGAAACTAAGCGACTTGTTTCGGACCATGTTCGTGAACATAAGGCAAATCTGAAACACAGTAGGACCAATTATTCTGCCATGGCTGATCATTGTTTCAATGCGGTGGGATCACACGAAATTGAATTCCCTAAGACGAAGGTACTTTGCAAACTCACTGGCTATCAACAAAGATTCGTTCATGAAGCCATTCATATATGCAGACAAAGACACAATTTCAACCGAGAGGATGGGTACAAACTTAGCAATCATTGGAAGGACGTGATCAACTAGTTTAAGTCTTAACTGGCTGTCATGCTCCAATCCTGCCACCTTCCGATGTTAGTTGTTATTTTCGGCACTCCGATTTTACATTAACATGCTAATCTCTCACATTAACATAGCCACCTCAGCACTCTCGCCGTGGAGGCAGCTCTACAATCTTACATTTACAGGCACATTTTTACCTGGCATCCCTTTAGATGGTGGAAACCCACCACCAGCGCCATTGTTGACCATCAATTACATTAATATTATCTGCCCCGCCCGTGCTGCTGACAGGGCTTACGCCCATTTTAAACCTTTATAAACAGTTTGCCTTTAGAGGCTAACCCCTTTTTCCTGATGACGACCGCTTGTATTGCGATCAAAACGTCGTGTTTTATTTTTATTATTTCTATCTACGTGTCTTTACCGAAAGAACCAAATAATATAATAAGAATAGGCTTAACAGTACAAAGGCAATGCAAGTATAAAAGTATTAACAGCCCTGGTTAAACAGTGATGCCTTGCAATGGGTATCTGTTTGGTGTTTGAACATCTTAACACCTCCTCTTTTAATTGCCATAAAGGATTAAGCCTCTTCTTAATTTTTTAATCATATCGATATTGGCAATTAGGTCCCAATGAGAAAACCCTGTTTTTCACAATTCTCCGTTTACAGGTATTTATTAATTCTCTAATGTTGCGCTCCACTGCAAGTGCCAGGTGACTGTGTGGAGATGGGCATCTGTTTAGGATGTCGATGTTAATGTGAAATGCCGGTTTGTGTTTTTCAGAATCTCCTGCATGAGAATCTCAGGTTAGTACCAACCCAGACTCAAACTCGAGCTCTGTGTGCCACCTAGTGGACAAATCAGTGAACGGTCATGATGTGTATTCTTTGGTTTATTCGATAAAGTCACGTAGTAAGAAAACTAATAATACAGTTAATTAAAATAAAATAATACACAAAACTAAAACCACCAATGTAGACTGTAGCCTGGTTCTTAACCTGAGTGAGCGTACTGGCAGTCTTTAATGTAGACTTATTCTTGGTTCTTTCAGTAATGAAAATAAAATAAAAATGTTATTAATAATAAACCCAATTGTAGGAAGTTGTATCCCATACTGTCCGTGTGTAGAGAGACGTGGACCCACATTAAACTGTCTTATGCTGTGAGTGGAGGGACTGCACCCTCCATAGACTCTGCGTGTCCCGTGCTGTGTGAGTGGAGGGACTGCACCTCCATAGACTCTGCGTGTTCCGTGCTGTGTGAGTGGAGGGGGACTGCACCCTCCATAGACTCTGCGTCCCGTGCTGTGTGAGTGGAGGGACTGCACCCTCCATAGACTCTGCGTGTCCCGTGCTGTGTGAGTGGAGGGACTGCACCTCCATAGACTCTGCATGTCCCGTGCTGAGTGAGTGGAGGGACTGCACCCTCCATAGACTCTGCGTGTCCCTTGCTGTGTGAGTGGAGGGACTGCACCCTCCATAAACTCTGCGTCCCGTGCTGTGTGCAGGAGCTCGGACTCGCAGGGGATCCAGGATGTGCCTCCTCCCACATTCAGTCACCAAAAGCTCACAGAGGGCATCTCGCTAGGAGGAGTGAATACGACGCTCATGGTTCTCGTGTGTGAGTTTTTATCTCACTCTGCACTCTGCACTGATCTCTGTCAACATCGTTCATTACAAACACAACTATGCAGACCAGCACCGCTCGGTAGGCTGCTGCACTTTGTTTCAGACAGGTGGCGTGTCCTTGGGGTGTGTATCTTTAAAACAGTTTTATTTTACCAGGTAAGGTCCACTGAGCTATGTGGCTCTTTTTCAGACAGGAACTGACCACAAATGACCGCTCAAGAAAGTGTATTATCACGTGGAAATTTATGTTGCAGCTAAGTGATCTTAACGCTAGACGATGAGTCTAAATGTGGAGCGGAAAACTGGTGTGCCTCTGCTGGTTGTAGAAAAACCCTCTGATAAATCAAGGCTGTGAGTATAAACTATTACATAAACAATTACTTTACCAGATAAGACCCACTGAGCTATATAGCTCTGCTTCAGAAGAAATCTTGCCAGAAATGATAACTCAACAAAGTGGCTTATCATGTAGAAATGTATTACAGCAAATTACTGTAAATGCTTGATGTTGATTATAAATGTGGAGAGAAAAATCGGAGGACCTGGAAAAATATCGACGTGACCACGAGGAGAGAGAGATGCAAACTCCAAATATACAGCAGACGTCAGGGTTGGGATCGAACCTACGACCACCTGCATAACAGGCGAAGTAGTTAACATCAGGTGGATCGAGGGTAAGTCCAGTGATAAATACAGTCACAGGGACACAGAGTGAAACACTGTACATACAGTACCTGCATGGATGCCCGGTGGAGCCTTAACAGACCGTTGGGGCAAGTGCGGTCAGGGAGCAGCAGCACCTATGAAGGCCGGCATGGCACACGAGGGGGTGGGTGGCCAGCACCACGCCCGGCCGGCTTTGTCTCCCTCGTGCCGAAAGTTTACACATCACACCAGCAGAGGCCAGTATAGCGTGAACCATTGTTGTACTGTACCTCTACGCTTCTACGTTCATGATCCCCACCATCGCCAACGCGCACCGACGAGAGCGGTGAAGTATGGTCAAATAACCCCCCCCCCAGGACGCGCACGGCACGGGGAGGGTGCTCATCCATTAGCGGAGTGACACAATATCTGTGCGTGGATGTGAGAGTGTGCGAGACTGTGGTAGCTATTGTACAGGCATTGTGTTTGTTGAGAGACGCTGCGAGAGTGGCATTAACATCGTGGTGCTGGCATCAACACCACTGTTCACTACCACTGCACACCCACCCATGGTCATATTAGTGTAGTACTCTTTGGTTCTTTCAGTAAAGTCATGTCGGTATTAATAAAATTTAAAAATATCACGACGTTTCTAACTCAACGTAAGCGTTTGTCTTCAGGCGAAAATGGCGAGCGTAGCCGCGATGTCTGCTGCAGCGCAGCAACAACACAACAAACACAAAACCAGTACGTGTGTGTGTACACGCCACGTGCACTGCTCGTGCCTCTACTGCACACGCGTCGCCGTGACCGTAGTGCGGGTGTCATCACTGTCCTCACCACAGATGGACGTTCGCCGACTCTGGACACAAACTTAGCCCGCGACCACCTCCAGATTTCCTCGGATCTCAGGACGGTGACAGTGAGCCCTGTCCCCCAGGGTCGCCTCCATCATCTACACCTCTTTGATTACTGGTCACAAGTCCTGTGCTCTGAGAGCTTCTCATCGGGTCAGCACTACTGGGAGGTGGACGTGGGAAGCGCGAGGCTGTGTCGGGTTGGAGTCGCGTACGGCACAATCCCAAGGAGAGGGAGTGGTGATGAGTGCCTCCTGGGAGTGAGTGACGTCTCCTGGTGTCTACAGAAAGTTGGCGACATCTTCTCAGTGCTGCATGGCAAGGTAGAGACCTCACTGTCGGTGCCGGAGTCTCCGCGAAGAGTCGGGGTTCATCTGGACTGGGATGCGGGGCTGCTGTCGTTTTACAGCACCGACTCCATGGCGCCGTTGCACTCGTTTCACCAAACCTTCACTCAGCCCCTACATCCTGGGCTGTGGGTGGGGTGGGTTAAAGTTGGTGACTCGGTGAGGATTGTGGATCTGAGTGGTGCGTCCTGAGAGAGGTGAACGTGAACAGTGCAGAGGGCAGACGCCACGACGCACGGCGCTCGCCACCCTCGTCACCGTCACGCGCAGTGCCACGCCCGTGACTGCCTGGTGGCTGTCGGCGGCTAGGGTCTGCGTGGCTCTCCATCGCGACGGGGGGGCTGAGCGTAAACAATCCTCACAATCTTCATGGGGTGGGGGGGGGGGGGTGGTGATAAAATAGGTACTGCTCTGTGTGTGTGTGAAGCCAACGTGGATGCATTCACCCTGCCAGAGGAGTGTGACTGTAGTGTAGGGGTGCAGTGAGTAGCAGTGGTAAACTTGGGATGTGTTTATACACTGGTGGTATCATGGGTTGTGGGAGAGATACTACAACAGTAATATTAATTTTAAAAGTATAAATGTATGCCTACGACAGTGGCATCGCAACGCTTGTATCGTCAATTCTAGAATAAAAATACAGAACACAAACAACATCAATGCACTCTTTGGTTATTTCGGTAAAGTCACATAGAAAGAAAATAAATTAAAAATAAACTACGTTTCGATTGCAACACAAACAACCATCATCAGGTAGAACTAAATTTGAGAGAGACAAAACAGACACGGAGACACACAGACAACACACAAGCAGAGAGAGACACACAACATAGACACACACAGCATAGACACACAGAGACCCAATGCCTCTGTGTCGAGGCCTTAAATAGAGAGAGGGGTGGGGGTAGGCAGAGAGAGAGCTGGTTCTGCTGGGACAGCTGCTGGAGCAGATAAATTAGCATTTCAATGAATCCACCACGAAGCGACCAAGGGAGAGAAAAATCGAATGGCCCTATAAGTGCCTGGTAAATTTTATAGAGAGAAATCGGCAGTTTGAAAAAAATATTTTAGCACATTTTTGGAAATGTAATGCAATGCAACACAGAGAGTCGGCTAACACACAGTTCACGCATAGCCTGGTTGATTACGATCTCCAAAGATTGCTAAAATTAGAAGTTAAGTGTGAAATTTGACAGAGACACAGATAGATGTGTGGAAATCCACGCCGAAGCGGCCGGGCAAGAGAAAGAGCGAATGGACCTATGAGAGCCTTTCCACTTTATTCCAGTGACCCGGGTGCTGCTGCGGAGTCCACTTTCTGTCCAGCCTCCCTCCCCCCAACTTGTCTCTCCCCCCCTACTGCCGAGGCCTATATAATCTCGTGCCACGGCAGATCTCTCGCCTATCTTCTTTGGTTCTTTCGGTAAAGTCACTGTCCTCCAGACAGTCTCGTCCCTTCACCTGATGAAGGCCGCTTGTGTTGTGGCCAAAACGTCGTGAGAATGATTGTGTTATTTTATTTTATCAATTTATTATTTTATTCCCATTCTACGTGACTTTACCGAAAGAACCAAAGAAGATTAATCCTTGCTGTCACGAGAGCTTTAAATCGAAATCTCTCGCCTACTTCAGCAGTTTTTTATTGCTGTGGTTGTCCCACCTGATGACGATTGCTTGTGTTGTGATCGAAACGTCGTGATCTATTATTTTTCTATCTACGCAACTTTACCGAAAGAACCAAAGAGTATGTATAAATATTAATTTATATATAAATCTTTCTAAATATGTTCATAGTTTTATATAAAATTAAAATTAAAATATGTTGATATTTTTATATATTTTATATCATTATATTTTTTATATAAATGCGCAAATTTAAACACACTCTTTGGTTCTTTCAGTAAAGTAACGTAGTTAAAAATAAAATTAAACAAATCACGACGTTTATGCTTAGCCACCTCAGCACTCTCGCCGTGGAGGCTTACACACTACACCAGGTGTCAATTTTAAGGTTAAGTCGACCTCGGCGATGTTCAGGACCAGTTTAGATACTTTCAAATATTTAAAACTAAGATATTACTTGCTTTGAATGTCAGCCATCGAAGGGATTTAACTAACTTCACTGGGGTTGTTGTGCAGTACAAAATCCACTGCATATTACACTTGAACACTCGGTCAATACAGACACACAGCCTACTCTCTACCCTGTATTCACAAGATACACATAGTCTACTCCCTACACTGTATGTGTAGTGCCGTGAATTCACTCGGATGACAACCGTCTCTTTTTCCGCCGTCACTTTTATTCCATCGTTCCATACACACAGTAATTCTCTCCGTGCTCCGCCAACTCATCCCCTTCCACACACAGTATTCCTTCAACTATCTCTTCACACACAGTGTCTTCCCTTCCACACACAGTGGTTCGTCTTCTATCTCCACACACACAGTGTCGCCGCTATCTCTTCACATGCAGTGACTTTCCTTCCACACACAGTGGTTCGTCTTCTATCTCCTCACACACACAGTATCGCCGCTATCTCTTCACACGCAGTGACTTTCCTTCCACACACAGTGGTTCGTCTTCTATCTCCTCACACACACAGTATCGCTGCTATCTCTTCACACGCAGTGACTCCATCTAGCTATTCACACACAGTGACTCCATCTATCTTCGCTAACGCTGACTCTCCCTATCGCTATTTACTGTCTTTGGGGTCCGGCTCTCTATCTATTCTTCCCTAACATTCCAGCTGTCTTCTTCGTATCTCTTCACCTCTCGCCAACAACTGCCCAGCAACAACTCTCCAACAACAACTCCCCAGCAGCAACTCCACTCCGTTCAAACCACCTCGTGTTTTATCCCCTTTCGCATTAGCCTTAATTAATTGCCACGTGGCTCGCTGGCCGTTTTCCGCCAGCTCGCACCTGTCCCCTCCATCAGACATCCAGACGCGACCACTTAACACTAACAGCCTCTCGACCAATCACAGCCCTCATGCCACGACTCCCTTAATTACTTCGGGTTGTTTACGCCACCCGCGACTCGACCACCTGTTCGACCTCATGTGACCCGTTCTCCTTGTCTGTCTGTATGTACTGTATATGGCCAATTCCTATGCGTATTGTTTACTCCACTACATCACCCCCCCCCCCCCCCCCCGTGATGAAAGAACCTAGCCGTCCCCGGCTACGATATACTCGAATTGGAGTAGTGGAGTGAAGCAGACGGAACGATGACAACATATATACATAACGCATTTGCAATATACAACCATTTTGTACAATCACGCAACGACACGCACACAACACCTTTATACAGAATTCCCAACCCCCAAAGTCAATGTATTGTATTCCTCCTGGAACGGGTTCCCACTGCCGGTCCATCTCCCCTGCACGGGATACCCTGCGGTAAGGGAAGGCCTCGCTCGTCTTGCAATGAACTCTGCGCTCATCCCTGTCCCAGCGACACTCAGCTGGCGGGGCTGTCCGTCGTTCATGGTCGGGACGGCCATTGGTCCGGATCTGTGGCCGTTCAATCGGGGTCCGGTCGGTAACCCTGCTCAAAAAGGGCGATCCTGCAGGCACATGGGGGGCAGATCTCTGGGACACGCGCACTTGTGACCTCCCCACAGGTTCGTCGGACACATCCAATACAGGCCGCTCTCGGATGGGGGATGACGCATCATACGGTAACACAAATTTCTTCAGGCGCGACGGGTGAACAAACCATGTCCGACGACCGAATTTTATTCACACTCTGATCCCGTAAAACCTCCACAATATCAACGGGCCCCTGCCAGGGGCAGTGAAATTTCGGGGACGTTCCCACCGGCACCATGGGGCAGTGCAACCAGGCTTTATCTCCAACACTCCACGGCTCTCGTGGCCGCTGCCTGCCGAACAATCTTTCGTTAGCGGCTTGTCGTCATGCCGTATTTTGCAATGCAGCCTCTCAGGCTTCCCTTAGACGGTCCAAAGCCACCTGCATCAGAGCAGGCACCGTCGTAGATTTCTCCCGTTTTCGAATTCCCAATTTCACAATAGCCGGCGCTTCCGGTTCCCGTCCATACATCAGAAAAAATGGCGAGTACCCCGTTGAGGCATGCGGGGCCAATCTATACGCGGCCAGCGTCACTGCAACATGCAGATCCCAATCATCTTGAGCGGTGTTTACTTGGTGACAAAGCATGGACGTCAGCGTCCTATGCAGCCGCTCGACCATCCCGTCAGTCTGTGGGTGGTACGGGGACGTCCGGAACTTTTTGGTCCCCAGCGAGTCACACACATCCTTAATCAATTTCGATGAAAAATTTCTGCCTTGGTCAGTAAGCAAATGTTCCGGGGCCCCCTTATCTAATAAGTATCCATTCAAGAAAGCCTCAGCGATCGACGTCGCTGACTGGTCTACTAGCGGCCATGCCATCGACCAACGAGTTAAGTATTCCACCCCGACGAGCAAATATCTGTGCCCTCGGGGGGTGACGGGGAACGGACCCAAAATATTCAGTGCCACAATTTCGTTCACTCTCGAAACTTGAATCGATTACAAAGGGACACGATATGGCCGTGCCGGCGCTTTCCTCCGTGCACATTCCTGGCACGCTTTTACATGCTGTTTCACATCGTTAAACATTCCCGGCCAGTAAAATTCACTCCCCACCGTCAACGTGGTCTTCTCCCCCAGATGCAGCAATTTCTCATGTACCTCGTTAATCAGTTTCCCCCGCAACACCTACGGGACAACAATACAAAATTTTTGTGCTTCCACATCCCAGCGAACAAGCAACCCCTCCGTTAACATAAAAAATGGGCGATCCTCCGATCCCCTTGAACGAGAGGCATGCAGCCTCATCCTGGTCAGCGAGGAATCTTCCACCTGCAATTGCTTCCACTGCTTCAATGACAACCCCAACAGTCCAATTTCTGCTCCAGGGATTATCCCTGGCACCCCCGAACCCGCTGCAGCGACCGTTTGCGGAACCTCCTGCAGCGGCGGGCCGCAACGCAGCGAGCCCTCTTTGCACCGACACGTCTCAGCCGGTCGCGTCAACTTCGACAAAGCATCCGTGTTAACATGGTGCGTCCCTTTCCTATGCTGGATCGTGAAAGAGTACTCCTGGAGGGTCTCAATCCAGCGAGCCATTTGCCCCGACGGCTGATCCATGTGCAGCGAGTACTGTAGCGCCGCGTGATCAGTGCGGATCAAAAATTCCCTGCTGTATAGATACGGTCGGTACTGGCGCACAAAATGGACAATCGCCAATTATTCCCTACGCGTCACACAGTATTTTTGCTCCGCCGGCCATATGCCACCACTCT